GGAGCCACGTGATTGTGCCCAAGTCCCTGGACCCCAGGTCATACATTTAGAGTTTCCAGGCGGTTCTCATCATGACGATGAAATACACATCGGTGTCGATGGACGCGCTCACCCCTGCATAGTAGTTCATAAACTCCTCCGGGGTCACCTGCAGTGGAAAAGTCAGAAACAAAAGCGAAACTTTGCTTTTCAACATTTCAGTCGAGGCCCATCTCCAGTACTGGGAAATGGAAAGGATATTTCAATCAAAGAGATTTTTTAATGACCACAGCTGGAGAACAAGTCTAAAACAGGAGAGTTGTAAGTGCAGGATTCTGGTAAGGAATGGCACAGGGGAGAAGAGGTAGAAAGTCTTGGAAATTTTCAATCAACCTACACAGGAAGTGAGATACTGGTTCTCCTCTTTCTTGAAGAGCACACCTATCTGTTCAGATAAGTGAGAGAAACTCAGAATTAGAAACAAGTGTTCTTTGATTGTCGTTCATACTGTCTTTCTGTGACACATGTGGGAAAAAAACATCTTGTGTCCTTCCTTCTATCAGGAGAATTAATGTTTTACTTTTCAAAGAAATGGAGCTCTGTCCTGTGGGTAAGAAACAGATTTCTGATTAAACGTTCTTTGGCTTTATGCCTTTTAAAGACACAGTAAGTAAAAGATGGTAACCCCTATTGCAAGCCCCCCTTTCCTCCTACCCGAGTTGTCTCCCCCAGTTCATGCTTGTAACTTCTCTTCGGATTATCGACTAACGTGCTTGCCTATGCTAGGTTTTACATGACATTACTTTTTGATGGAAAGAGAAATAGTTATCAGCCTTATGTTTTCACAGGTGTAGGTGATATGGACACACCAACCCACCATTTTGGCAGTTGAATCAGAAAGCAAATGGTTTCTTATCTGACTGCTCTCTCTAACCAGTCAATTTAGCCAAAAGCATAGCCCTGCTTATATGTGAGGACACAGATACCATAATGACAACTGTTTTGGAAATTTATTGTTTTCTTGTTAGCTCTCAATTTTCAGAATCATGAGTAATTTTAAAAATCACAAAGTACAATCTATAAATAATTCAAAACCTCTTTCTAGCCCTTAATAGCAAACTCCTCTCCCACCGAGTACCTACCTGCTCCCTAAGAATCACATGAGTTGATTGATACACTTGCCTTTTTTGCTAAAATTACAAATGAATCCACTGTTCTCTCCTGTACCTGCCTCTCCTCTCCCTCTACCCCAAATCGTGAAAAGCAGTAGGAAGAAAGTCATTGGACTGAGTTAACAGTTGAGCTATATTTATTCAGTGACTTGGAAGTAGAAATAAATAATATGTGCATAGTTGTTGCTAAAATCAGAATAGCATTAATACTCTTTTTTATTTATTTTTGTCCTCCTTTGGATTTCCCAATCAGCATTAAACCTGATCTGGTGCGTCTCCCTGGTGGTGCAGGCAGCTGAGTGTAGCACTGTGAAGATGTCCGTAGCCTCTGCAGTGCCAGTTCGATCCCTGCCATCCTCAGAGCAACCCACATGGTGCAGCAGACCTCTCCTGTTTTGCCCGCTGCTCCCCTCAGCAGTATATTTCGTTAGTCTGCCTGTTCTGCTTCCCACTCTGTCTCTGGTGAATCCTCTCACCCTCCCGTGCATCTGGCCTGTACCCCGGTTCTTGTGTAAATAAAAAAATAAATCTAAATAAATAAATAAGCCCAATCTGGAAGTCGGACTACGTAAAACTAGATGTCATAGCTAATATATTTATTTGGCCATTTCAGGAAAGGCCATCAGTTATTCTTGGAGAAGTATCAGCTTATTTCCTGACACTCAACTGGCTTGAATCACAAATTCTATGCTTCCCCCCATAGCTTTGCCCTCATCATGGTAAATCACTCTTTCAATATTATTATTTCATCATTTTATTTGACTTTAGAAAACATGAGAGAATGAACCCCCTTTCTTTTGGCAGGACTCTTGACTGTGCTACCTTTAATTGACTAAGTATATGTTATATACAGGAAGGGTGTGAGAAGAGGGATAATGAAGAGCTCTGAGTCATGATACAGAATACAGTCCCTTTTTCTCAACTCCAGACTGATATGAAAATCATAAAATAAGTTTAGGTTATCTATATATATTCAGTAGTATACCTAAAATATTTATAATTATTTAAAATTGTCTGCAGGGGCCTCCCTGGTAGCACAGGGGTTAAAGTCTCAGTGCTATCAAGCTATCGCCAGCCACTGTGACCTAAGTTCAATCCCCAGTCAGGGAGCTGACCCACATGGCACAGCAGACCTCACTTGTCTCACTCGCTACTCCCCTCAGCAGTGTATTTCAGTAGATCTACCTGTTCAGCATCCCACTCTGTCTCTGGTGAATCCTCTCACAACCTCCCATCCCCGCACCTCTGGCCTACACCCCAGTTCTTGTATGCATAAATAAATATAAATAAATCTTTTTTTAAATTAAAAAAATAAAATCGTCTACATGAAATAGAACTAATATCCCCTCAAAAACTCATATATCCTAAAATATTTATTTTAAAATTTTGTCATTTTAAAATGATATAAATATATGAAAACTTCAGAACCTAGATTTGAAAAAAAAAATAAAAAGATGTGAAAGTGTCACTCAACTGGGGCAGGTAGGAGGCAGGGGGTTAGAGATAGGCCCAGAGGGAGAAAAGGTACTTCACACATTCTTTGACCACTCTCATACTGCCATCTGATAATTTCTGAACTGAGGGGAGCGTGTGGAGGACAGGGCTTATCACCTCCAGTTCCATGGCTGCTGTAAACCCCAGTAACTTTATGACTACTTGAGAGATCAGTTTGGTTATCAGAAGTTCATAAATTTGAACATCATCCTTGGCTAAGAAATAGGCAGACTTTCTTGGCTTATTCTAAATCTTATCTTATTTGAATGTCAACTATATTTTTTAGCCATTTTAAAGCCTTAGGCTTTAAGAGTAGCTGTACTTCACCATGAGACATTTTAATGTATAAAACAAGGTTATTTGAAAAAGATAAAGTGGGGGTTAATTACTCCTTTTTAGAAAGAGAGTTTCTTTCCATCCATCATTCCTTGTGCATTTAAAGTATTTAACGTACAAAAGTTGACTAACACATCACTTTATCACTTTTCAGAAATATTTTCGCTATGTCTAATAAATGAGATATTCCTATAAAGCCTTTAGCACGTGCCCAGAAGCATCAGTATTCAATACATATTGCCCAGATTCATAATTATGCTAAATGAGTTTCATGTGCATATTTAATAATTAAAAACAGGCACTTCTGAATCTTTCAGAGACAAGGATCTCAATCAAGTATGAATGTGATTAAGAGTCATCTGGGACACTTATTAAAATTGTAAATCTGTAATAATCTGTAAAACTGTAAATCCACCCCCCAAAGTTGTATTTTGTAGTGCTGCTGTGTAGGCAGCAACCAGCATTATCACTACATCCCCAGGACAGTGACCACACACAGTGAGAGCTGATATTAACACGGGGTTAGTGATATTCGAGTGACATCAGATGCTGTAACTGCTAAAAACCCCAAGAACCTTTATGAGTATTTGGAACTTAATGTGGCCTCTTAAGATAAATGTCAAAAAGAATGGGGGGTGAGAACCTTAAATCAGCTGAATCACAACAACTGGCTACTTTGACTGGGGTTAGAGAAAAGGACAGCTGAGGTTTCCCCTGGCAAGGAGGAGGAACCACCTGCAGAAAGGAGGCAAAGAGGCAAATGTACCCTGGGATCCCTTGTAGAGCTGGGCTAATTTGGGGAAATGGCAGTTGACTATTTTTCCACCACCATCTCAGAAATCAAAGGCCAACAATATTGGAAGAAAACATACTTTCTGTTATTTCTGTCCCTAAACATTTGGCTGGTCTACAGAATCAAGTACTTCCTTCCCTGGCCACACACACACACTCATTTTAATCTACCTCTGCAACCCCCTCAGGCTGAAATGAAGGGTATTTCTCTGTCCCTGGCAGGAAAATGTCAGCAGAAAGTAAACAAAGATTCCCCCTTCCCAACCCCTGGCCCCTTGTTACTAGGTCTTTCATGAAATTTCATGGAAAAAAAAATTGAGGGAAATTTCCTTTAAAAGGGGGAGCCTTGTATACTCTTCCTATCACCATCATGTCTTCCTCTGCTTCCTGACCTATTAATCTTTCCTGAGTGACTAAGGCCTAGGAGTAATACTGCCCCAGGTTCTGCTGCTGTTGAAGGAGGAAACACCCTTCCCCATCATCATTGCCTGCAGGTCACCTAATAGCAGATCTGGTTCTGGGTTAAAGGTTCATTTATGCTTACAAATAAAGAGAGGAGACATTTCGTCTCAGCCTAGATCACACAGTTATGGAGGTATACCTTCTCATCTACCAACTACATTTACAATTTGAAGACCCAGTTAATGGCGACAGGATGGTTCTTTTTGTTCTTAAGTTCGATGTGGTTTAGAAATGCAAGTTAATTTCAAAATCTACTGAATATTAAATCAGAGCAAATTCTGTTATCAGTCATTTCTTTTACCAGAACTTCACATAAATGACTGTTCCACATGGCAAAATGCTAATAAGTGATACTCCTAAATACAAAAGACATTGCAACATCCTGAAATGCCTTGTGAATTATGCTCAAAGTATTGAATTATGGTCTCATTTTAAAATTAAATATGTCTTATGATAGTCTAACTCACTCTAGAGACTAGCTGTGTACAGTAAATATAGTTGCCATGGCATGCAATGTTTCATCAAGACATCATATTCTCCAGGTGATGGTATTTAGCTGTAAATGAATCACCTACCAACACTCGTGCACATGCACACACAGATTCTCTGGCTTTAGCTCTCAACTTTCTAAAGAGTCACTAAGGAAATATTTTACTTCTATCGTAATTAATATAGTGTAAGTATCTTTTAAGGCTTTGGACTTATTTCCCATTTGTAATTACAAATAAGAAAAACATTTCACTTAGATTAAACTCTCTTACTTACCAAACCATCTTTGTCATAGGGTGAATCAAAGTTATCCAGAAATTTCCTGAATACTTGCTCCTCTGACCATTCTCCATTTTGGTACTTTGGGTGGTGTTTTGCATTATACACCTCCCGGAGGTCTTCAATTGTTATAACGCCATCTCCAGTCTTGTCTAACTTTCTAAAAGCTTGCATAATTACCTCTTTTCTGGCTCTGGACATTGGAGGCTGGGTAAATAAAAAAACACATACACAGACATGCAAGCAAATGAGCTTTATGTGTGTCAAAGTGATGGCATAGTCCCCACAGCGCTGCAAAATGGTTGATGTGCCATTAGATAATCTAGAGTTGGATCGCTCCATAAAGTTCTGAAATCTGCTCTCAATCTCCTGCCCATCCCCTCCACAGTGCACTAACATCCTCTAAGAAAAAAAAACCCAAATAAACAAACCTCAAAATAGCCAACCCAAGCTAATCGAAAGCCAACCCTGGCAGATATACGGACTCAAGGGGCCGCTTACTCTTAATGTGAGAAGAAATTCATTGAAGTCTATGGTTCCACTCCCATCCTTATCAAACCTCTGGAAAAGCTCTTCTGCCTCTTCCTTTTCCATGACCACAGCATAATCATTTAACCCTTTCACAAATTCCTTGAAATCAAGGGTTCGGTTGTTGTTGTCATCCATAATTCGAAATACTCTGAAGGAAATACGCACATGCAAGAAGAAAAAACCCACAGAGAACAAGGTGTAAGCATAAACATTCAAAAAGAAAACCACTTGCAAGTTTTTTCAAAGTATAATATAGAAGTTTAAGATTCTTCGCTCTATCCTCCTTCCAAAATTGGAGGGCCTCACCCAGCTGCTCATAAAAGTAAACCAAACTTTAAAAATGTACTGTATGATTCTAATTCTATGGCATTTTGTAAAAAGCAAAACTACAGAGGTAGGTAAAATTTAAGGGGAAGGAGGGAGAGGCAAGGTGGAGCACAGGGGATTTTTAGGGCCATGAAACCGCCATGATATTATCATGGTAGAGACAGGACCTGCATTTGCTAAAGCCCATAGAACTTCACAGCCCAAAGAGTGAAACTTAAAGTATATACAAGTTTTAAAAAATACATATTTAGGAGGCCAGGGGACCCCAGGAAAGAATACAGACAATGGGAAATCTAATTTCACTACAAACTTTTGAATAATCTCACTGACGAGAAGGTAGACAGTGTTAGAAATAAATGGTCTGTAAGAGTTCTCTGAGGCCCCTTTTATAAGGACACCAACTCTATTCTTGAGGGCCCCATCCTCAGGACCTAATTACCACCGAGAGGGGATGAAGAATTTTGTTTTGTTTAATTTTGTTTAGGACAAGACCTCCCTAGAGATACTCACTGGGTAGCTGATTAGTTAGCTGGTTAGCTAGTGTCCTTCATGAAAAAAGAAAAGATGGTGGTGCAAGGGGGTTAAATCTCAGCACTACGATGCTCTCAGCAATCACTACAGCATGAGTTCGATCCTCAGCCAGGGAGCTAACACATGGCACAGCAGACCTCTCCTGTCTCACCCGCTGCTCCCCTCAGCAGTGAATTTCAGTCAGTCTGTCTGTTCTGTTCCCCACTCTGTCTCTGGTGAATCCTCTCACTCTCCCACGCATCTGGCCTATACCCTGGTTCTTGTATGCATGAATAAATAAATCTTAAAAAAAGAAAAGATTTAAATAGCAGTAAAACATTTGGAGCTCAGGAGAAGACTTTATGACAAAGTCAGGAGTGGGCAAGATACTATCATCTCTTTTGCCCCTGGATTTTTCAATCTTCAAGGCTTCATGAGTCTTAAAGACAGTGAGTCTTGAAGGCTCACTATCAGGACAGGACTTAGCTAGCGGCTGAAGCAATCTCAGGGGGTAGGCAACTATTTACTGTGCAACAGGCACTTCCAGTGCCCCAGGCCATGAGGGACACATGACTGCCTGAGAGAGAACTCCAGGTTCTGCAATCATGTCTAAGTCACTGTTCCTTCCTTTCTCTCCAGAAGTCATAGCCCCAGGGAGTGTCTCTCTCATCCTGCCAGAAATCTCTAGAACCTGGGCATATTGCTCTCTTCACCTCAACTCATCCCAGAAACTACACTCTCTTCTAGCAGACATGGGCCTTGCTGAAACTGACAACAAAAATTGTCACACAGGACCAGAAATTCATTTCTCCAAGACTCTGCATTTTGCAAATAAGGAACGACAACCAGAAGGAAGTGATTTGCTCAAGTCTCACCTGGGCACAGAGTCTCACCTGAGCACACGCGACCTGTCTCCATGGTCCTACCTGCCAAGTCCTTTGATGCCCGCGGAGCCCCTGGCCAGGCACTGCAGTCGGAGCCTCTCAATGGGGTCGGTAGCCTTGGAGAGCTTTTTCTTGGCCTGGATCGCCATCTCTCGGTCATGGCGCGCTGTCCCTGCCATCTGAAGGTGAACCCACAGCACATTAGCAGAGCTCAGCCCTCCCGGCCTACCTCTGGTTGGGCAGGGTGACAGCAGCCATGTGGAGAAGGAACTTTACAGCGCATTCTATCCTTCATTTTCCAAGAAAGGTCTCAAACCTCCCAGAATTCCAATTGTTAGCAATGCCACTTGTGTGCCTGGCCTATTTATTCCTCGCTTAGCCATCCTGAGCACATCTGATCTCATCAACCTGGACAACAGCTTTGAATACACAGCCCTTCCCAATATGCTCTGGCCATTCCCAAACCCTCTACCCCCATAAATATGAGGTCCCATTTCCCTAATGACCTCTTTTTGAGACTTTTCATGCTGTATTTTTTCCTTTGGAATTTCCCATAATGCCTTTCAATACACATTAAATATGCTCCTTTTTAATGAAAGGGATAATTTTTGTGGCCTCTCTCTTGTCTGAGATTCTCAACCCTTGGGCCTTAATGGTTCTTGCCAGTAACTAGTATGTTTTCCTTAATTAATAGGTTCCTGTCCATTAACACCTAATTAGGTTCTCAAGACAAAAAAAAAGTAATAGACACACTCTCTCTCTCTCGATAAATATATATATATATATATATATTTCTCTACAGTTTGGTTCTATATCTTAAATAATCAGATATGGGAGATAGGGTAGATGCACCTCTGAGAGGTCAGTGTGCAGCCAACTCCTGCAACAGTTTATATTCTGAGAACCCACACAAGAGAGGAAAGAGCGCTGGACTGGAAGTCTGGAGACCCGCATTCTAGTCTAATTCATGATCCCACTTGAGAGAATCTCGGGCCTCTGGTCCCTCTTCTTTTGTTAAATGGAAGGATTGGATTAGATGATCTTGCAGGTGCATCCTTGCTCCAAAAGGCACGAATTCCCATAGAGGCATTCTAGAAGCAACTTATTTATGTGAGTTGTGAATGAAAGGGGCAAGAGGACTTGATGGGTATGCAGAGAACAGCATTCAAGATGCAGGGGAAATGGTTAGGACAGATGGGTCTTGAATCAAGGGCTCCCCCACTGGTCAAATGCTGGCGCTTCCATTGAGGGCCCAGTGGGGAGGGGATTTTTTAGCTGCTCCTCTCCTGTGCAAACACTAAAAAGCCTCCCCCACCCCCAATGCCGACACACACACACACACACACAGAGTTCTCATTTTTTAGCTTTAGAGAAAGGAACTCACATAGAAAACTGAGACCACAGGCGATAATTTAGGGGTGAACATGTTCAACTGACTCATGTCCTATAGAACTCCCAAGGGTCAACTGTGGGTTTGTTTGGGGGAAAAGGCTGTCCTAAAGCTAATCCCATACAGGCTTCGTGGACTCCACCCCCACCCCAGGCCAAAGCCAAAGACACTGGGAACTCCAAATCCCATCCCCACCAAAGGGAAGGTGGCTGGGACCTGAGGGTGGGGTTAAGCAGCCAGCTGGATATAAAAGGCAGACACGTGGGCTTTGGGGGTCCCCCATTTTGGCAGCTCTGAGAGTGACTTTGGGTTTCCAGGTCGGCGGATCGGGTAGGACGCATTAAAGACTTTATTTCCCTATTTTCTCCCTGAGTTGTACATTTTCCTTCTTTCCTTTTCCCTTGTAAATAAACCTCTTATTAACCTTTTGTGGGTGTCTGTAGTGGAGTATTCATAAGTCCCTTGTAAGCGCGCAGGTAAGGACCCACAGCCAGGAACCCGTTCAATATCAGGGCTGCCCTATAGCAGCTTGGCGCCCAACGTGCTTTGCAAGCTTCACCCGTGGTTGACCAGCCCAAAGTAATTTTTCTTGCGTTGGTCACCATAAAGCGCATTAGGTCAGGTTCACTTCCTCTTGCCCTTCCAATACCCACTATAGGGGGGGAAATGGGAGTAAATCTTCCAATTCTCTTGGCACTTGATTTCGGATTAGGAAGAATTTCTCTGCCTAAAGCTATGTGAAGCCTTCCTTGCTTCCTCCAGCACCGGAAGCCCAGACGCCCAGGAATCCACAGGGCCCCACACCAGGCTCTCACACACCTCCCTCTCCACCCCTGCCAGGAGGTGCAGAGCGCTCGTTCAAATTCTCAGCCGACAGGGACACCCAGAGACGACCAAGTGCCTTCCTGGCAGCACTAGCTTTCTGAAAACCTGCAATTCCTGTTGCTATTTTGTCACCTGATCGCAAGCTGACAATTCCCAGTGTCTCTCCAGCTTCCAGTCTCAGCCACAATGGAATTCTGTGTTTATTTACAAGATCACCATTTCTCTCCCCCAGCCCGCTCTGTCCCCTGACTCCTTCTTGTCTGAGGCGCTTCCCGGCCTGACATTGTCAGCAGCAGAGGCACCACCTCCACCCACCGTCCACCAAGGGAGCCGGAACTGGCAGCACTGAGGTCCTCCACATTCTCGAGATAAGCCCCAGGGTCTGCGCCCCAAGGGGACCCCACTGCTTTCCTGTCTCTTCCCCTCAGTCAGAGCTACTTGCCCAATGCTTGCTGACAGCTGCTCACCTCTCTGTCCTCTTTTCCACCCTACTCGACCTGTTCAGGTTTCCGCACCAGCTACTGCAGCAGGAGGGGAATGGAGAGAGACAGAATAAAACCGACAGCAAGAAAAAAGGGAGAGCTGGCTCCCCACTCCGGCAGTGACACGAGAGAAAGAACCCTTGTGGGGCCCTTGCATACCCCTAAGATGAAGTTAGAGCCTCAGCTGCTGCCTTCATCGGCCCCCCAGAGGATGGTAAGCAAGAATCCAGTCCTCACAAAAACTCTAGGGGCTGATTTGAGAACAAGACACACACAAATCCAGGGGCACTCATACCCACTAGTCACATTAACCAGAGGGTACAAAAGACCCAAATGTCCATCCATAGACAGTGGATTAACAGAACAGGATACACACAAAGTGGACTTTTATTCAGTCACCCAAAGGAATGACAAATTGATACATTCTCCACATGGATGATCCTCAAATACATGCTCAGCGAAAAAAGACAGACACAAACTGTGACATTAGCCTACAATTCTATTTATATGGAATATTCAGAACAGGCACATTCAGAGACAGGACACAGATGGTCGTGGCCATCACCTGGTGGGAGGGCTTATTGGGAGGGGCTGCTTAAAAGATACGGGTTTCCTATGGGGTGATGGAAATGTGTGGGAACTTGGTGGCCACACATAGTGTGGAAATTCTACCCATTTTTAAATGGCTTTTTTTTTTTAAGCATTCTTTTTTTTTTAAGATTTATTTATTTATTTATACAAGCACTGGGTATAGTCAGAAGCACGGGAGGGTGAGAGAATTCACCAGAGCCAGAGCGGAGAGCAGAACAGGCAGAGTGATGAAGTACACTGCTGAGGGGAGCAGCAGGCGGCAGGAGAGGTCTGCGCGCCATGTGGGACCCTCACCCGGCGGCCGGGGATCGAACCGGCGTAACAGAGGCCGCAGGCAGCTTCGCAACCCAGCGCTCAACCGCTGTGCCACCGGGGAGGCCCTAAATGGCTATTTCAGATACATGAATTTCATCTCCTGGTGCTTAAACCCCACAAGTTAGTTCTGCTATGATTCCTATTTCACAGATAAAGAAATCGGGGCCCAAAGAAATCAGGGAACTTGCCCCAGTCACACAGTCAGTGTGCTTCACAGCAATTCACACACAGTTAGGACTGTAGGACCCTCAAAACCCCCTAGGCCCCTCCTCCTGTCACCCCTTTGGAAGCTAAGATTTGTGTTGGTAACGAAATGCTCCCCAACGTCCTGGCCAACCCTGAATCATCAGACTCTCAAGCAGGTTGCTCTGTGCTCCTCCACCCTGGGAAATAATACAAAAAAATTTCAAAGCACAGTTTGATGGTGCCCACTCTTGGAAGAGCAGAGTAGTTCCGGGAAAACACCCCACCCAGACACGATGCTGGCAGTTACCTCAGGAGTCCAATTCTCTGTATTCAGAAAAAAATGTTATTTTCTGCGGCCAGCCAGTCCCCCGTGGCATCTGCTACCCACGTTAGCTACCCCTTTTGCTCAGGTAGTAACCCAGCAAAACAACAAATAGCTAATATTTATTGTGTGATCTCTTCAAGACACAAAGGCTGGCGTGGAGGGGCTAGTCCCAGAAGCCAGCTCTTACGCAGTTTACAATCTTACATTTGAGGACTGTAATCTCCTAGATAAGCAGAACAGGAAACATTATTTGGGGGCTTCGGGGGAAGGCATCATGGGTGGACACCAAAGGGGACAGGGTGGCAGAGAACAGGTGGAGGTGGGCTGGTTGCTGGTGGATGGTGACTGGACCTTGGCGCTGGGCGTGGTGTGTTCTGTCCAGGTGCGGAGGTGAGAAACTGCAGCCCTGGAACCCACACAGTGCTGCAAACTAACGTTATCTCGATTTAATAAAAAAAAAAAGACGGCCCCGCCAGGTAAGGTCTTGGTTAAAGCGCAGCAGTCAACCTCTGAGGCTTGCGTGCAGACCCCAGGGACCAGGGCAAAGTCTATGTCTGGACAGGCAACGCCGACGTCACATCTACACAAAATGTTCCTGACTCCAGAGGACCCCGCTGAGAATCCAGGACTCCATGAGGGCAAGTGAGCCCAGGCAGCCAGGCCGGCCAACCTGGACGAAGCTGCACATCCCCCGGATTCGCGTGCCCGCAGCGCCCCCTCGTGTTGGCAGCGCGTCTCCACGGGTCCCCGTGCCCGGGCTAAGCTCGCTTCTGGTCCTTTCTCCTGCAAATGTTTCCCAAGGGCTAATGCTGCTCAAGGATGGGGGGAGGGAGAAAGAGACAGACAGCTGCTTACAGTTAGGGGTGAGTATCTGCGGATGGGGAGCGACCCCACGACTGAACCGCAACAATCACGAGATTGACTACCCCAATATTGCCCTGAGGCTTTCTGAAGACCTCTCCACGGAGGAGGTGATGCCTAACCTGCAATCCCAAAGGGAAGTGGAAATTATTCAGGTTTGGGTCTTGAGAGAAGAAGGAAGGGCACTGGATAGTTCCCAAGTGC